CAGTCTCTTCTTGTCGAGGATGAGGTAAAGGACGTTTACTTTTTTTGGAAGCTGGGGCGCGCTTTGTCCTCTCTTGCTAAGAACGAGGTCTCTTCGATCTTCTCAAGACTAAAGAGCCAAGAGGTAAAAGAGCTCTAAGCTAGAAAGAGGCTCTCTTCTTGTACCGCGACTAATTTGGAAATGCGTACGGAGCGACGTCGGCGGCGTGCAACCTGTTTTCTTGGCGTGCTGTGCTGCTGTCAGGGTTCTGGCCGAGTGACCACTTCCGATAGTTGCGTGTTAAATGGTTCGCAGGAAAACTCAGGAAAGCCCGGACAGTGAAGAGGAGGCGAAACGAAAGGTTCTAGACTTGCATCGAAGACATACGGAACGACGCAGGTGGCGTGCAATCACGACATGCCTGCCTTCCGTCTTCTTGTTATACTATGTTGTTGTTAGGGTCTCTAGCATGCCATGAAAACTCATGGTTTCAGCTGGCGATTATATCCGGTTTAAGCCGGTCAGGGGGGGGCGAGGGAACGCCAGATGCCTGACTTATACAATTTAAGAACATGTACTATATAGCAGGGGGGGCTAGATAGAAACAACCAAGAAACCACAAGACGCAGCACCAGAGCGCGACAAGAGCAACACAAGAGCAGGTGAAAAAAACTCCTGACAAAATGTTGAACAACTCTCCTAGCAAAAATACAAGTTGATGACGAATAGTCGCTCTACAACACAGCCTCCTCAAAAAAAACTCTGTAGCTACAGCCTGTACGAAAAAATAATTGGAAAGATACTTGTGGGTGCAATAGCAAGTGCAAGCCAAATGAGTGTTGAATGTGGACAAAATCAACTCTGAACCCTCGTTGGCCTAGTACAGTGACTACATTCCACGCATGCGAGGAACGGTGGCACGTCTGCATGTACCGGCGCCATGTTTTGTGGCTGTTCACACGCATCCTTCATGCCACTACCGACACAGACGCACTTTGGCGTGACATCATGACTGAGCTAACTTGCGGCCGGGCAGCGACATGAGGCACCAGAATATCCACCAGTGGCTCTGTTGTCAGGACCTCACTGTCACTAGCAAAGCGGCTCAGTAGAGACTCACTGCCATCATTCATTACCGCGCTCACTGCAAGGTCAAGCTGTGTGACAAACATTAGCTTCACGATGCCGGCTGGCTTCTCGATCTAAAGCCTCGTGCACACACGGCAGGGAGCGTACTGAGAGAAAGAGACACAAGCAGGCCTCAAGGACCTGGATTAAGCGCCCTCCTCCCGGCGGCACTTCCAGAATCGGCGGGCCCTGGCAAAAACTCTTGCTTTCCGATGTCTCCCCGTAGTGAAGCCGGACCGTTGGCCACACTCCAGCTTTCAGCTTTTCCACACGTGGGCGCACCTGGGCTAAAGGCTGATCTGCTGAGCTCCTGAAGCTTTCTGAGCGACCGACCGCCACAACCACAGCCGCAGCTGCGACGGCCAGGTGCTCTGGCCCCAGCCCATGCGCGGCCCAGGCCTTGCCAAGATCTGATTCGCATCTCCGCTCAAAGCGGCACAGCACCCTCAGGCCCCCTCCCGCCTCGTTGTAAAACGTCTTCTCGCAATCCAGCTCTTCGATCAGGGACTGAACCTTGACGCACTGCGGTCGCAGGTATCATAAATCCTGCGTGGAGAGCCGGACTGCATCAGTGAGTCCTTGCAAAAGAATCGTGTGTCGTTTCGTGAGCATGCGTGCTGGCAGCCACAGCATGTGGCCTTCGAGGTACTTCTTGATCTCAGGGCCGAGACCTTGCAAGCGCACCACCATTGCCGTCCGTGCGTACACGAAGCTGTTGCGTGCCGGGCGCTTCCACGCAACCTCGTCTCCTATAGGAACCTTGCGAAGAGCGGAGCCCAACAAACCACATGAACGAGCTTTGTAACAATGAACCCTCGGCGCGTCGTCAAATGGTTGCAAGGCCAGCCTCAAATTGCACATCACGTCAATGACTGTTGTGATAATCCAAGAAATGACCCCGCCAAACTTAGGAGCAGGCTCAGCTTCTTTGCTTGCAGACTGCCAAACCTTGTTCCACAAACCAAACCACGAACACTGTTGCTTTCGGAGTTCCGTTCATGCACACAAGAACATCAAGAAAGGGGGCGACTGCCAAACAGGCTATCTGCGTACTATGGTGCAACATCCCTTGATCATAAAACAAGCGCTGAGCATCGGACGAACCACTGTCCGAAGCACCCTGAGCGCAGAGGTCTTGCGTAGACATGTTCCAGCGACAGAAACTCTGATAGTCATGGCCGAGGAGAAGGCGGAACAGCTCTTCAGTTGACCCGTTCTCCTCGTCCGAAGCTTAGCTTGCTGTGAGCTGCGAATCAATGCCTCGACTGAGACGCGAGCTAACACATGCTCCTCCTCAGCATCCTCGGCAACTGCCTGGCACACCGCCGCAGCCGCTCCAGAACAACAAGTGGCATGCTTTTGCTGGAAAATTGCAGGGCCTCGTTGCTGCGCCCACGTCCGACCTTAAGAATGCTTCCTAGCGGAACTTGCAGGGAACACCGCCGAAAGTCTGAAGAATCTCGAGGTCCTGACATCGGAACGACGTGTCTCCCGAAAGCAGCGCTCCTGAGTTAAATGTCTCGTTCTGGCCTTTACCGGTGGTGCAGGTGCTTCTCAGCTGGCCACCCACAGTTCAAGTGCAGCTGCAAAAGCTGACGGCCTTACTGGGTACCCAGAGCAGTCTGACATCTTCAGTGCTGCTTCGCCCGACGGCCGCACTCAAAGTGGCGCCTGTAATCCTGAGAGTTCGGAAACCCTGACTGCATCTCTTCCCGAATCCGAGGAGGCGGCTGTCAGAGTCTGGACCAGCTGATCCCTCAAGTCCACTGTGAGCAGCCGCCGTGCCTTAGCGCTCATCTCGCAGCTTTCGACTGACTGCTCAAACGTCCCATCGTCCGGACTGAAGTCTCCGGCTCACAAGAACACAAGCAAGTGCATTGACCAGCGTTTGATGCAAGGACGGTGCAGAAAAGAAAGGTCTCAGGCAAGGCAGATGGCAGGTGTCACTTGCAAAGCGTCGACTCCAGCACTTGTCGCGAGCCCCCTCTCTTCGTCTCGCCCGGCAGTGCTGCTAGGAAGTTTCGACTGAAAGTTCGCGAAGTTCGGGAGCTGCGAAGTCTATGGCACTCGGATCGCTTTGAATGGCCAACTTGACGATTTCCCTGTCCGCTTGCAGGGCGGCACTGGCGTAGCGCAGAGCCAGACCATTTTGGCACACTGCCGCCTCAACAAGCTCCCGGTCTTCTCTCAGTTCCTGCACTGCGTTCTCCAGTGTCAGACCGTTCCGGTGAACTGCCGACATCATCACATCTCGGTTCGCATGCAGACATGCGGCGGCATAGCGGAAGGCTCGAGCATCCTCCTCGATTGCTTGTAATACGATCAACTTGTCTGATCGAAGACGATCCGATGCAAACTTCAGTGCCTCTCCATTTTGCATGACTGCAGCAAGCACAACCTCGTGATCATCTCGGATATTCGGGGGTGCCTCGGACAAAAAAGTACCGTCTGCGTCCTGCATAGCTGCTTCCAGCCAACGGGCTTGCTCCGGATCGCGCCGGAGGAAAGACAGCTCAAGTTCATCAAGCTCAGTGAGCTTATCCAATTTCTCCACATCCCTCAGCTCTCGCTCCCCCAGACAGATGCGAAGTTCACTCCTGGGAAGGTCGGTCTCTCTCTCGATCAGGGCTTTTGCATCTTTGATGGAAGAGTCTGCTGGGCACGAGAACATGCAGGAGGCAGACAAGCCATTAGCCCGAACAAGGATCTCCTTACCTTCCAACTCGTCTGCATCTTGCATGGCACTGACAACCCGCTTTGCTTGAGCCTGTAGGCCCGATCTCTGGTCTTTGCAGGTGGGCGCATCAACACTGCTTAGCTGCTTGGCTCCTAACGATCAGCTCCAGGGGTTGCTGCGAAGATCCAGGTGCACCTGCCCGAGCACCGTGCGAGAACAGCGTGGGTGGCCGTGGGAAGCCTATCAGGCCTTGTCTCGCAAAGCACGCCGCTGCGTCCACTGGAGTCTTCCTGAGACGGCGACGCATGGAGACACTGCTCAGGCACACCGCTGAGGCACAGCAAGGGTAAGCTGCAAGCTGAAGCCAGTGAGAGAAATCGCTGAGAATGCTGGCAGAAATAGCAAGCGCCTCCGCATGGTCCGCTATCATAAGGATCCCCGCGGAACGACATGAGGACCACATGTTATACACTCCTAGCACTAAGGGAGTCAGAGAACAAGCCCTTGCGCACCGCGGCAGGCAGCTGCAGCATGCCTGTCAAGAGGACAGGCGTCGTGAAACCCCAAACCATTCTCATTGGGTTGCAGGCTTGATTCGCGCAACTGGTTCATGCAGATTCAGATGTATAAGGGGGGGTTCGAGATGGACGGGGGTTCCAGCTGCGGCTTCAAAGTCGAACTTCAGCTTCGCATCTCAGCCTGGACTTGCTGGCCTCAAGCCTTAAGCAGCTGTTCGATGCCTTGTTAATAAAGTAGCTCTACCAGCTCGAACGGTTCCTGTCTTGGCACGGCGCGCTACGCTTGCCCACATCAGAACAGATTCAACCAATAGTCAATAATTAATCTTGCGAGACGCAGAAAGGCTTTCTCCCAAGAAAGTGCCGACGTGTCTAACTCAGAGCCAGGTCGACTCGGAGAGAAGGTCGCTGACCAAAGCTGCTGCCTATGACGGCACAAAGTCACTGAACTATCCCTGGTCGCCATGCTCTGATGTGCTATGATCGTGAGCTGCGAGCGTAAAGAGCAAGGCGTGGGTTTCGAGCCTTGGGCGGCCGAGCTGCGAGCTGCGAGAAGCCCTTTTCGCAACTGAGACCAGCACTGGAGCGGGGCCAAGTGCGGGTGGAGGCCTGCCAGCCTGGAAGCTACCAACGCCCGAATTGGCCACAACATACAAGTTGAAAGCCGGGTCGTCCCGCAGAGCAGCAGCCACCACCGGAGCATCCAAGCTCAGGCGATCTTCTGCCTGGCCATGTGCTATCCTGTGGTAGCAGTGCATCTGCAAAGGGTACTGCCTCAGCATCCGTTGCCGCACGCCAGAGCGTGCCGAAGACTTTGGCAGCAAAGACCACGTTGAAGGACCAACCTCTAAGCAAAGGACTCGGCTCTCGGAGCTGCTCCCAGTTCCCTGGGCTCCCGGCTCTCAAGGGGTCTCAGGGCCTCACCCCGCAATGGGAAATGCGCTGCACACAGAGCCTCGCTGTTTCGTCCAAGCTGCGTCCATCTCCTTGAAAACCATAGCCAGAAGCCTTCGTCCGCTGGGTTCCCCCATCCTCCGGGCTGCTACGGAAGACGGCGCAGAGACACCAACTCTTCTCCGAAATTTCTGGAGCTCCTGCTTCCCATTTGCGGACGCTAGCTGAAGAAGCCAACTTGTCCAAAAGATTTGCAAGGAATCCACGAAGGCCTTATGCCACACTTGAAGCATGAACAAACGGCTGAAACAATGTACTTCCGTTGTTCTCTGAATCAACCTTCACCGCCCCACACCGGTTCTGGCATCTCGCCAAATCTCGATTATCGGTCTGCTGGTTCAAGTGGAAGTCGCACTTTGGAACTATCGGAAAAACACCAAGCTTCCCGACATCCCACCCTCAAGTCGTTTACTGTTGCCATATGTTGCAACAGTCATCCTTCTCCTCAGCTTGGGAATTCTCGTCCATGGGGCACTCGAGGTCGGCGAAAAGCACCCAGCGTACTTTGGGTTCCGTGGCGTGGCGAGGCACAGCTTCACGTCCAATTTGGGCTTGAGGTTTTTGGCAGTTCGGAAACCGACAGCCGCACTCTCTCTTTCGAGCTTAGAGAAGACACTAGGAATGTCTTGCCGAGCAGACGAACAGATGCAGCCAGTCCTTTCAAGCGCCTGCGGCTTCCCCCAGCTTCCACTCAGCGCGATCTTGCCACGAACAGACCAAAAACAGTCTCGCTGCGGCAGTGGCATGCTGCGCCTCAGTGAGCTCTCGAAGGGCCCGCAAGCAGCGCCCACCTCGACAATGGAAAAGCTCATCTGTCCGCTTGTACACTTTGCTAAGCCCGGCACAGGCCGACAGGTCCTCTTGTCCTTCGTGTAGCTGCATAGCTCTTTCAAGGATGCCTCGATCGCATGTGACCATGCGAACGCAAGAATCCCAGAGAGGAAGATTGGGACAAGACATCCTTTCAGAACTCGGAGCTGCATGTGGATCCATTTCTGCGTCCACTCTTTCGAAGGTTCTGGCATGGCATTGTGGTGTCGCACGGGTGCACAAATGCAGAACACCTGCCTGCCAATGTTCCGTACTCAAAGGTCTCCCAACTGGTCCAAAGCCTTCAACGAAGCACAAGGCGTCAAAAAGCTACGCAGGAGGGCGCAACACAACCAAAAAAAAACAACAAGTGCTCGCACCTGCCTGAGTAGTAGGGCCACCCGATACCGCACATCTAGCGGTGAGAAGGCCTGTGCTAGATGTCACACCGAAATCGCTCTTGAGCGCCCACTCGTTGCCTCACTGCCGGAAGGCTTGGACAGCTCAACGATGTGGTGATGGAGTTGGCTGTTGATTCCCAAGCCTCTGCGTCCATCTTTTCGGCAAACAAAGGCAACTCGACGCTTTCAGAGCTGACGTACCAGGACTGCGGCGCACGCGGCAGATCGGAATCAGGGCAGACACCTGGTCCAGTGCAGGACTGCCTTCGCGAAGGAAGTGGCGACCTCGTGAACTTGCTGAAACAGACCCCAGCATTTCACAAAACGCAGCGGCCAGGCTCAGCAGGAGCAGCTCGTATGAGAAGAACCCCCAGTCCTGCAGAACGTCTGGTTCGCTGCCAGCACTAGGCACACGGAAACATGGCAGTCCTCGTCGGCCAGCATGTCAGACAGGAAGTGAGTGCTTTTTCCCAGTACTTGGTGCCCTTCTTCGGCCTGGGAAAGTCTAAAAACAGACGAGACAACATCATGCCCACTCTGCCTGAGCTTCTTACAGCATGGTCACGCCACTTCCAGTTCCTGTAATCGCCAGCATCTAAGCGGCCTGTGCCATCAGTCATGTCTTGCACGGGCCACTCGGGAAACCATGAGTCCCGATGAAGACCTTTGCACATCGAGGCATCACTAGCAGCGATGGCCGCCTCTGCACGAGACACTCTTCTTCCAACTTGTCGCATAGGAACTGCTAGGTACCTCCAAAGATGGTGCATCAATCACTTGCCGCAGCTCTTCGTCGAGGTCTTCGTTTTCTCTGGACCTGTCACTTCTTGACAAAGACAAACCCCCTAAAGCCGCTAAGCCAAGCGACGCGTTGAGACCATTGCAGAGACATCCTGCTAGGCCGCCCGGGAGCTGCCGGGGAGATGGGCGCCGCCACATCTAGAAGGGATACAACTATCGTGAACAGGCCGCAAGAGCATCTACTGCACATCACAAAACATCCTTACAGTGATGCCTCCAGAGCCGGAGCTGCACCTGAAAGCCCAAAAGCTTGTCAAGCCTTCTTCTATGCGCTTTCTGGGTCTGTCACGCGCCTGGCATCAACGAGGTCACTCTAGGGCTGGCCGTGTCTTTCACCACTTCAAGACCTCTCGGGCAGCTGCAGGAAGAGGAACAATGAGGTGACAAGCCGAGGTTCGAGCACAGAGGTCTACTGACCATTGCATTTCTTGCCACGGCAGCACCCTGCACGGCAAAAATGATCACTTTCTGTCAAACCGTTCTTACACAAAGAACAAAAGCAACGGAGTCCTCACCAAAGCTTGCCGGACTTTCGAAGCAATGGCCAGGCTGCTCCTGAAACAGCAGAGGGACAGAAGACGAACCACGACATCAACAAGAGTAGCAAAAGAAATTGGAACCACGGCCAACAGGATGCTGATGCTGGCGCTTGCTGTACTTCTTACTGCTACTGCTGCTCCTCCTCCTCCCCTCGTCCTCCTGCTGGCACTACTGCTGCAGCTGCTGGTGCTCCTCCTCCTCCTCCGCCCGCCTGCTTGCGTATGTTGCTGCCAAAACCAACAACAGCCAAAAACAAACACATTTGTGCAGATATCCAATCCGAGTGAGTCCTTTTAAGCCCCGAACTTTGCACTCTCATTCAGTTGTTTGACAGCAGGTACAAGCAGGCACACACTTCAGCGTCATCAAGTGCCTCCCTCTGCTGCCGAAGCTTCGTTGGACAGGATAGGCAAATCAGCTCCTGTCCCCCTGCTGAAATTTACCGGTACCTAGAGTCCTTGGCTCACAAGATGTACGCACACACACCCCTTCCGCAAAAGGGGTAGTCCTTGCACTTCAAGTTTCTGTACGCAGAGTGTTCAGTATCACAGAGCACAATGCTCCAGTCGCACAGTTGACATGCATTGTTGAACAATCCACCAGTCGCTAGTCCGTATCCTTGGCTCACAGGCGGTACACACACACACACACGCCTTCATGCGAAAAGGGTTGTTCTTCAACGACTCACCGGCTCTGCCCGCCGACGAATGACTTGCATGCAATCACAAACAAACCCCTTCTCTTGCTGTATCACTCATACGGCTGTGTATCCGGAATGTTGATTGTGCTCCCCCCGATATGACTCCGCTCCTTTAGGGCTGTCAAATCCGACAGCAAACTTGAAATGATTTCCTGTTTTTTCAGTTGCTTCCCAACATATCACGGAAGCAAACAAACAGACTGACGGTCTGCAATGCATCACTCATACGGCTGTGTGTCCGGAATCCACCAGCTGGTAGATCTAGTCCTGACTCTGCTCTTCCCCAGCTAACAGACGCGACAAAAGCTTGCACGACCCCGATTCAACACATTCATTGCAATTCTCGCATGGCCTTTTGTGGGTGGCCTAAGAATTCCAACAGAGTTCGTCTCGCAACATGTCGTTGCACGAATAAGAACAAGAATAAATACCAATCGTCTGCAAAGCCACGCTGAGCGCCTGAACTGCAATCATCAATGTCAAAAATTCACAAAATACCTAATGCAACGACACAACTCATTGCGTTAAAACTGTCCGGCTTCTGTCACGTGTTCCGATCGGGGAACGTTGCGACGAAGCGACGAAGGACTGGCAAGTTTGAATGGCACTTGATTCAAAGATCCTTAAGCAGACGTCGATCAATCTGACGACTTACCGGCTCTACCTGCTGACAAATGTCAACTTGCACGCAATCAGAAACAAACGCGCAAAATCCTCTTTGGCTGTATCACTCATACGGCTGTGTGTCCGGAATGTTGATTGTGCTGCCCCGGTGTGACTCCACTCCTATAAGGCTGTCAATTTCGACATCAGGATTGAGATGACTTCCTGCAATTTCCGCTGTTTCCAAGCTCTCACCGAAGCAAACAGGCAGACTGACGGTTTTTTACTGCATCACTCATACGGCTATGTGTCCGGAACCCACCAGCTGGTAGATCGAGTCCTGACTCTCCTGTTTCAAAGTTGACAGACACGACGAAAGGCTGGCAAACCCCTGGGGAACATCTTCACTGCAGTTCCTTGCTCTTGTCATCGTCGGGTTCCTGTCGTCGTCTAGAGTCTAAGTTTAGTTCACCGTCATCAGCATTGCCATCACACGACGACGAGCATGCAGAAAGGGCAGCATCGGCAGCACCATCACACGACGACGCAACTTTCAGTGCAGCTTCTCCTGGTGATGATTGGCAAAACGATGCACGAGTCAGAATAAATACGGTCCGTCTGTAAGGCCGCCGGAACTTCAATCGATGTTGTCAAACTCTCTTACAAAGAACTGTGCAACGACACAACTGATTGGGTGAGAGGTGTCCCGCCTCTGCCAGTTGTTCCGATCTGGGAACGTAGCCGCAGAAGCAGCTCTGCCACTACATCGATCATTTCAGTCCGGCACTTGTTTGGAGATTACGATGCGCTAGAGCAGGTTTCGCACATGGGCTTTCTGGTAGCCAAAAAATTCCAGAAGGGCTTTTCGCACAGCATGTCGTGTACGAATAAGAACAAGAATAGATACCAATCGTCTGCAAAGCCCCGCCGAGCGCCCGAACTGCAATCAATCATGTCAAACTCTCACGAAGACCTATGCAACGACACAACTGATCCCGTTAGAAGTGTCCCGCTTCCGTCAAGTGGTCCGATCAGGGAACGTAGCGACAAACGACTTGCAAGCTTGAGTGGCATCTGACACTTGATTCAGAGATCCTTAGGCAGGTGTTGATCCTTCAAGCCAGCCAAACAGTCTGTCTACCAGTTGGTAAATTTATTCATGCAACAAACATCAGCCAACACTTGCTTTCATCTCTTGTGTCACTAGGTCAGACACACTTCAAGACACGAAAGACAGTCGCAAACGCGGGACGAAGATCAATGGAAAACACATCACATGAATGATAACTTGTCTTGCGGGCCACTGGTTGGAATCTGAACGTCACATGGTTGAGCTTCATCAAAGGGATACGTTTTGCAGGCAGTGCTCTTGTCGTCGTCAGGTTTCTGTCGTCGTCTAGGGTCAAGAGTCTAGTTCACCGTCATCAGCACCACCACCATTACACGACGACGAGCACGCAGAACGGGCAGCGTCGTCAGCACCACCACACGACGACACGACTTTCACTGCAGCATTCGGCAACGATAACACCAGAATATATCAGAGTCAGAACCACTTCCCCTGGCGATGATTCGAAAAACGATGCACGAATAAGAATCTGTACAGCCACGCCATATTCTTGCTTCTGAAAAAGCTCCGTAACCGCTTCCATGAGCTCACAAATGTGCCGGTCTTTCTTTCGCAACTGGGATTGCAGGCACAGCTGCGCTCGAGCTATCTGATACAATGATCCAAAACCCAGGAGACCAATGACATACACGATCTTCTACTGGCTTCGCATCTACTGACTGGACCCGGCTCAGGTGCGGGCTGAAGCAAAGGAGACTGGCTTTGGTCAGAGTGCTCCGATCAGGAACAATACCGGTCATTGAAATGACCATCCTCATCCGGGCCACCCCGGAGCACACAGCGCGATGAACGAATGCTGTTTGGAGCACACTTGTGCAGATCTCCAATCCCATTAGTGGGTCCTGTTGCCTTCTACATGCATCAAAAAAGCCCACTTGCTTGCCAGTATGTACAAGCAGGTACACACTTGAGCGTCCTCAAGTGCTTCCACTGATTTGCCGAAGCTTTGTTGGACAGGATTGGCAAATCAGCTCCTGTCCCCCTGCTGAAATATACCGGCTTTCCTGATCATTACTTAGTCCTTGGCTCACAGGATGTACACACACACACTCTTAGTCACTTGATCGCCGGGTTTATCTGCGTGCGTAGTCTTCCCATACCAATCCATTAACGCCTTTATGCTCCATTGGGTTCCACCGTTCCTGAACCAAGCCTCCGAGGAGGTGGGCTCTCGCCTGTAAATACGAGTTTCAAGTTCTGGGCAAGTGCTGACACTGCAAGGCTTGGTGCGAAGGTACGTAAACCGACCGTCCCCACTCTATATCCTGACTACCGGACAGAACTGTCGGGCAGGGGTTGGTCCACCCCTTTCGCCCAACGATTCGCATGTCAATAGTTGCACACCTTCGAAAACTGATCATCATGGTGACATGAATGATGACGATGCCGAGGACGATGATGATGATGATATTGAACCATGATGAAACCACGGTGTTGGCGTCAAGTCTCCGGAAGCGGGGTAACGGTCCGGCCACCCTATGCGAGATGCAAAAGGAATGGCGAGGACGAGGAAGTGAGATGATGATGAACGTGGATGACAGCTACCCACGCCGGGGCCCAGGAACATTTGCTGCAGGAACGTTTGCACACCTGCAACGGTGGTCTTCGTGGATCCATGTCCGAGGATGGTGCGTGCACACATTACACACAGAGACTTTCTCAAAGGCTAGTTGCGCTCGTGGACGGCTTGATGATGTTGATGATGATTGTGTAGCGAATACGAGATGAAGCTTTTGGTACCCAGTATGCCAGACATCATCGAAATAACAAGAGAAATTCTATGAGGGTGTCCTGCCCTCGCTGTGTGAGGCCCGCGTGAATCACACAGCACGAGATGAAACGAAAATGAAAGTGAACATGAGGGCCCCGTCAGCTGTCCCTCAGGACCAAGGCGCAGGCCAATTGCAGGTGCGTGTGTGTCTGGAGAAGGTGCGCGAGCTTCGTTGGACAGGGCTCCCCACCCTAGCCATAGCCCCCTGCCGCTCCTGGCCTAGACCCTTGCCGTCTCACGTGGGGGGCTACACAACACTGCCACCCGCGACAAAGACCTCAGGCACGAGACAAAACTCCCCGACGAAGGGAAGAGTGGTACAGGGACAAAACCGCTTCTGACAGAGGCCCGAAAAAAAAACAACGACCCGACGGCCCCGACCACGACGAGAAGGTAGGAGCGGCGGCGACTGACGACTGCACATTGCTCTTGCGTGTCAAGGCTGCCGCACCTACATCCTGACGCGTCCTCGGCCAGACTTGCTGGACTTCCAAAGTGTTGCGTCTGCGGTATCTCCTCCACAGCTACGGTCAGCGGTACAGAAGGCCATGCGTGCGTGGCTCCTCCACTGGACTGACGCCTGGCACGCACAAAAGCATGCAACCCAGTGCGAGGCAACATGAATTGAAGTAGCTTCTGCACAGCTCACTTAAGCGATTTTGAGTCAAGCTGTGCACAGCACGTAAAGAAGGCTATCTTCGCCTCGACTTGCCAGGGCGTCGATGGGACCAACTACGAGTCCAGATCGATGGCAAAGCCGCTTTCACCAGTAACTTCTAATCGCCCTTCGTCTTGCAGTTTCTTCATCTTTGGACGGAATTCTGCGAATGCTGTGCTGCTTCTGTGCGCACCGGTGTACATTTCCTTTGAGCTGTATCGTTCATCCACTATCACGAGCAATGGGTCCTTGTCACTTTGGATGGCCTGATACAATGTCACGAATGGCTCGTTGTCCCTCACATACCGTGCCAGCACGGTCCAGAAAGAAAGAAACTCGTCGCGGACAGCGATGTCCCTGAAACGCAACTGCACGATCAAAGCCCATCCAGCTTTTGGTGATTGGAGAAATGAGCGCCGTGTCCAGCTGAATGCAGTCATGAGGCCAGCTGCGGCCAGAAATCCAGTCGCAAGCAACAGCATGTCCCGTTGGGCCCTCATCCCCCTTGTAGCGGAGGTCCGCAAGGACTGCTTGAATAAGAAGCTACGAAAGCTTGAGAAAAAAGAAGGCGCAGAGGTTCAAAGGCATCGTGGTCAGCTGTCACTAGTCACTAGTCCCTAGCCTCACTAGCCGTTCACATGCGGCACACCCACCTGCATCCTCGCGACGATCCACCGAGAATGGATTCCCTGCGACCAGGCCAGACAAGTGCCGAGACTCGAGGTGCTCGCAGTCCCCGCCTCCCAGATCCTCCACAGGCGAGTCGCTTGCGCTTTCGTCGGCGCTGTCGTCAAATGGGTTGACATCCCGCTTCGGGTGTCTTTCGGTGAAGCGATGGGCTGCTTCTTCCTCGCTCTTGAACCCGAACGGATTGCCCAGCGTCTCTGTCTCTTTGTCACCGTCCGGGCTGCAGTCACCGAACGGATTGGTAGTTTCGTTCTCCAGTCCAGTGGGGCACGCCTCGACCCCATCACTGCCAGAACAGGTGCGCACTCGATCATCTTTGAAAGGGTTGTAGCCCTCCTCAGCCACCTTAGGGTGCCCATGCTGGAGTCTACAGCAAAGCTCGCGTGGGGAAGTTACCTCGGCCGCTGCCGCGTGGCGCAGTGACGAGCCTGGTCAACTGGTCAACATCACAAGAACGGCAAGGACACCAGTTGCTTTTGGGGCACCAAGACCAGCTCCAAAGGAGGGCGACACTGGCGACGAGGGCGACACTGGCTCGGCAACACCTGCCGACCACGGTGCAACTCTTCGACAGGAAGCTGAAAAGAGCAAAGCGCCTGCATCGCCGCCCTGGCCCTCCAACCTGACTTGTGCTAGCAACCGCAATCGACCACTGGACCCCCGCAAGCGCCTTGGACTTGCTGCAAGGGCCACAGCTCTCCCGGAAACACCTGCTCAAAGATGCCCAAAGCATCACACACAACTTGGGATTCTGAGCACTCCATGGTCCTTGTCGTGGAGTTGCCGGCCGAGAGCCACCTCTCGATGCCTGTTACCAGGAAGACCGCAGTGAGATGAACACTTGCTGCAGGAATCGGCCCGGTTGAATCTGGCAGAAATACTCGAACCCGAAGCCGCGAGAATCAGTCAGTGACATCGAGGAAGTTTTGCCGCAAGCTCGGGGAAGCTTGCCAAACTGACAAGAATTGCTCTACACTCGGAAAGCTCGTAAAGCTTGGCAGAGAACTACTACTCTTCTCTCTGCAAAAAGTGCAGAAGACAAGAACACCAAGCCAGAGGATTGCAGGAAACACCGAAGCGAATCTCCTTGGCAGGGGAGGAAGTCCTCGAATTCCTCGAACTCGAACGACTGCGAGATCCACGTGCCTGCCAACTATGCTAGAACTTGCTGCCTGACCCTGCCTTGAGTCGCACCAGACCAGTGACTGACTTGGTACGTCCAATTCTGGGCGAAGGCCTTTGCAAAGCACCGACTTGGTGCAGTCGGCTCCACTGCAAGACGTAGCCGGAGCTGGGCGCCCAGCGATGCGGACACGTCAGAGACCTGCGAATTCACTGGAGAACACGTGTTCAAGCCAGAAGTGTCTCGGTGCAGGGCTGCTGCCCTGGAAGGACCTAGGTTCACGAGATCTGCCGACTGAAACTCGACAAAAGCTTGCTCACTGCTGTCAGCTTGTCCCGGCCACAGCATATTTGGGGAGTGCGCCCCGTGCGCTTTGCGAGTGCAGACATGCCTTTTACCATTCCACGTGCGTGGCCACATCTTGCAGTGAGAGAATTGCCGCATCCTTGAAGCTGCGATATAACTCTGGGACGTTACGATTTTCGATCGACCTCATCGACGCATCGATATATTCTGGGCCAAATACTTGGATATGCTTCGCACTTATGCATCGCACTATTTCGATCAAGGCCTCTGGCCCTCACCCGAGCTGCACAGTGAAAATGCTATGGAATGAGCGGAAGATTATGAATGATACCGAGCATAGTATGCACCAGTGATTCAGGAGGAGAAGGCAAAACCATGGAGAAGGAGGACAACGGCCGACACACGGATGGCTGATTTGTCAAGCAAAGCCGTGAGCAAGAAGTGGGCAAGTCGCCTTGCGCCGGCATGGCCGCCTCTTGCGTGGTCGAAAGAACATATCTCTCGGAATGTGTCGGAGGGTCTCGCAGTGTGTAAAGAGTGGAACTGAATCTGGCATAGTCCGCAGCCAACGCACAGTAGAACGAAAAGCTCATCATCTGCTCGTGCCAGCAAAGGTCTGGGCTGGTGCACACGGAGTCAGCCTGCCTCGGGCCCAGGACATCCGCACAACACTCCCACAGGTCCGTGGCCAAACTCGCCAGAGTGACCACGAAATGCTAGCAGCAGAGGCAACCAGGGTGGCTGTGTTCTCGAGACCAGCAGCTTCGTGATCAAGTCGAGAACAGCACCTCCTCATTGCTCTGACCTGTGCATCAGAACGAGCAAATCGGAGGAAATCCGCACTCTGCTTTAGGCCCACACTATGGAAGCAGGCCGTGTGTCTGCCAGAGTCTGCTCAAGAGTGTCATTGCTCTTGATCAAATCGTGCCTGTAGCACCAGCCGGTTCGACTAGGCCCAATAAGGTCAATACTGGCCCTGAGCTTCCAGCAGGAAATCTGTGGTGTTCGACGAATCGGGATCATGCTCGGACATGCTGTCAGAAGTCCCTGCATGGAGCCACTGCGGGTCGCATGACTTTCCTGCCACTTTCGAGCCTTCTTCGTGTCCTTTGCACAGGCGGCGCCTCTATGAAAAGAGAAAAGGGCAAACCTTCTGCACAAATTCAGAATTTCACAGCAGGGCTGTGTCCGAGCATCCCGACAGAAGAAACCGAGGTGGCAATTTGTGCAACAACACCTGCATGGAGATGCACGGAGTGAACATGACCAAGCATGCCAATCCCTGCCATTTCCTCTGCTGAACATCTGGAAACGCAAGCCCCACCTTTTGACTAGAATCTCCAAGCTGGCTTGCATTGCTAATTCTACGTCACCTTTCTTGCCATGGTCTGCCAAGCAGGCAGGGCCTCTGACTCATGCTGCAGCTGCTGCAATCGCTGCAAAGACCAAGAGGCCTTAGAAGAACTGGCAGCAGTGTGATCCACACAGGCAAAGCACTTGTTGACTTCCATTGCAGTTGTACCCTTTCCTACTGTGCGACGCGCGCTGTCTGTAGCACAACCTGGGCTTTGACCACTCAACTTCTTCTCGATGTGGTAGACACTTGCTCGCAAATCTTGAGATTCTGCAATCATACGTTGTGGCACCCTCTCGGCGCAACCCTTCGGATGCTTCCCCCGTTGCCTTTGTCTTCTTGCCACCACCGCCACCAAACTTTCCGCCTTGCTTTCGTCGAACGACTCTTCTTCTTGTTCTTGACAAGAAGCTCCGCAGACTCAGATTTGGGTCCACTGGCGTCCGTGCGAAAGTTTAATCCCCTGCTACTGTTCTCGTGGCTCCAAACCGACAGGACTCTTCAAACAGCCCGCACCTGCCCCTGCAAGTTCCCGCAAACCTTTCTCGGCTCCAGCTTCCGGGCCGTCCACAGCCTTTTTTTTTGAGTCTCTCGTTCGTGCCGTGCCCCAAGCGCTCCGACTTCGAGGCCGTGAAAGTCTTTTGGGGAAATGGCGGTTTTGGAAAAAAGCCTCTCGGCAGTCAATGATCACCTCGGCTGGACCTCCGGCTCTGCTGGTTTCCGCCCACTTGCGCAGTTCTGGCAGCTGCAGCCCTTTGCAATGATTTCCATGCGACTGTTCACTCGGCATGCTTTGCCCGCATTCTCACCTTTCAACTGATCATTCCTTTCCGAACTCCCAGAAGGATATAGGCATTGTGTGGGAATGCTGAGAAAGCGTCCCTTCCTGTTGTGACCATGGTAATCGACAAACTTGCTTCTGACGACCCATAGATGATTAAGACAGGGGAATCTGTTGTTTAAGGAGATTTGTGGCGAGGGTGCTGGTAAAGCTATCGTCCAGGGTCTTCTGGGCTTTTGCTTCCAGACAAACGACACTATCTGTGGTGTCTGATCAGCCAACGGATTCACTGCAAAAAGATCCTTCGCTTGAAACGCGAAATGGCATCACCTCTTAAATTCATGTCACATCACATGCCTGCAATGTTGAAAGGTGGCCGTAACCTTGCTGGAGCGGTGGAGCATATGGCTTGCCTTTCTGCCGCGAAGGCATCGGAACAGGAAACAATGACGCAAACAAGTCACAAAAGATCAAGAAGCTTGTTTGCCTGCTGCTTGAACTCATAATCGTCGTGGCCAAGACAACATTCATGCGGGACGTGCAACACGAGCATGCAGAGCCCGGGTCCGGGGCTGCCCGAATGAGAGCATTGCTCTTTGCTTCGCTGGTTATACCTGAGGCCCTCAACCTCCATCTCCTTGTTACCTTCAATGACAGAACCTTCGAACCTTCACGCAACAAATCGACAGGTACCAACCTACACCTTGTGAGAGCTTGACGAAGCTTCGAAGGTGCTCTCCTGCATCCTCTTGCTCTTCTTGTACCCCATCTCACTTTTTACGTTTCATTTTGGGGAGGGCTGTGTCCCTGGCATATTCGCACACTACGCATGACAGTGGCGGCTGAGCCAAGAGTGCTGAAGAGTGTTGGCTACGGGCAGACGGCTTGACGAACCGGTTCGACTCTGAGAGCCTGCAAAACCTGCACGAGGCAGACTGGGGCTTGAACGTCTCCATCACTTGCAACCACCTGTGCGAAGAGTTTACTGCAGAGCCGGACAACAACAAGAGAACATTTCTGACACGGGTCATTCCAATCCCTCTGGCCCTACAGCGCCGAAGGGTTCACGAAGGCCTCTAAAGACAGGAAAACCTCTCTCCTGACAACATCCTTGCTGACAGCAGAACTTGCAAGCCGGTTGCACTGGCCCTCGGGAGTTCCACTCCTTTCAACACACTGACTGCTTTCCACTTTCCCACAAAATCTTGCAGCAGTGGAATCTGGCTGTGTTTGCGATTTTGGGGGTGTTTCTTTTTCATCTGCGGTTTAGGATTTGAGGAGGCTCAGGGACCTTAGGGATTTACATGGGGTTCAAACGAAAGGAGCGTGCACCCCACAGTCGATCGCGCCTGCGTGCAATCGAGAAACCATGCGTATGCATGCTCGAGGGCGCACCCACTCCATGGTTGGAAGCTTCAACGAGGAGAAGCACAGAGACTGCAAGCGCCTAGCGGGCCTAGCGCTGGAAAGCATGCGAAGACACATAAGACTGACTTCAGACAGCAGAGGAAGCAGCAGGAGGCGGCATGCACAGGAGTCGGCTCGTACCGCATTCCTCGTTGTTCAATCGCTGAGGCCTGTTACTCATGTTGCATTCCGAGGTTTGAGATCTGAGCTTAGCCACTGCACCCCGGAACACCGCTCAACCAAACGACTAGGTAGAAGAGCTGGACTGCAACTGTTGCACGTCCCCGTATCAGCTCCACATCAGTGAGACTCAGGCCACATGTGAAGCTCGCCATGCCTCTTCCTCAGACTCGTCGCTCAGCGACTTTGGTGTCGTGTCACCGGCCTAGCAGCAAGCACAGACATCGTTCAAGACCAAGGCAGGGAGAGGAGAGGGAGAGCTGACAGATGCGCAGCTGTGTCTCACTTTGCCCTGCGGAGCACATCTTCCGGCACATCTGCTTAAGCTACTGCTTTGGGGTCTCATGGGCCAGAGTCTCCGCACAGGACAGTGTTCGGCAAAGTTCAACAAATATGGGAGACTCTGGAGCTGTTGCTTCGCTTGCTCAGTTGATGCCCAGAACGGCGCATCGAGGGCACCGGAATGGGCTTCTTACATCCCTTGGACGAGCCCGCCACGCAGTACCGACAGCTGGGCATCCGAGCAGTGGTGTTGCCTTCAGCTTCGGAACCGGGCATGTCCCAACCTCAAGCAGGCGGTTGCTCCCGACTCGGCACCAGCTACACCAGTGCTGACGGCGGTACGTGCCAACAAAGAACGCACTTCATCCGCCTCGGCGAACCAAGTGTCAAATACAACACTTGCGAGCCCAATTGTCGTTTTGACGGCTTGTCCAAATCTTGGCGAGCTGCCCACTCCTCCAATGCACAGGCCTGGCTTAGGTTGCTGATGTTAATGGGGATGCTTCCAACAACCACCTTATGTGATTCCCTTCTCAGCCCAGTGCTCCATCGCGGATGGCCTTCGAAATCGGAAATTGTTGATGCTGCGAGCCCTTCACACAAACTTCCCGCACATTCCAGCATCTAACGCACCTCTCGTGATTTTACAAATAAAAGCGCTTGATGCACTTTTGCTACATGGGCACCAAGCCGACCGAATCCTTGTCACTAGCGATCACATGCTGAACATCACGCATCCATTAATTTGTTGCTTATGCAACAGTTTTGTGTTGAAATGCTGACACAGGCTTGGACAATGGGGCACCTCCCTCCTGGAAGCGTCGTGGCCGGAGCGAAGACTTTCAGCCATGGCCTGCATGTTAAAAGAGAAGACACTTTCGACCCTCACATTATTGACAGCCGTAAGGTCAGGCCTCAACGACCTGCTCACAGATGGATGTTTGCATGTCCATCTCCTCGCCACTTCGGATGGAGAGCCATGCCAGAGCAACAGCTGACAGACTGTTGACATGAGTCATAAGGCTAGCCATAGCCACCATGTTGCAGATCCTCTGCAGCCTGTTGAATGGCCTCGGCCTCATGTCACAGTGCCAATGTCCCTTCCGATCTCAAAGACAGACCTCTTGGGAGGAGGCGGTGTGAACCAATTCCTCACTTGATGCCTTCCACAACACAGCTTGCTTTGGAATGGAACTGCACGACGAATCCCAGGCTGTCCTCGACCATCAACTGCTTGGGTGTCGGCGGCCTGAGTCGCCACGTAAGAGCTCTTTCAAGGCAATCCGACAATCGCCGAGCTGCTTCTGCGGAGACAGCGTCCTTGCGACAGCTTTGCTCCCTCCTACTACGACCCCGACTGCAAATGCGACTGTGACTGTGACTGCGATGCCGATGACTACTACTACTACTACTACTACTACTACTACTACTACTACTATGGCTACTACTACTTCTTCTCGTACTATTTCTCGTCCTCCTCCTCCTACTACTTCTACTACGACTTCTACAGGATTCGACGAGTACTGCCACTGATACTGCTACTGCTACTGCTAGTGCCGCTGCTACTGCTACTACTACCACCACCACCACCACGACTACTACTACTACTACTACTACCACCACTACTACTACTAATACTGCTGCTGCGGCTACGGCTACGACTACGACTACGACTGCCACGACGCCACCGGAACCACCAGAACCACCAGAACCACCACCACCACTATCACCACCACCGCATACCAGCGCCACACTACCACTGCCGCTACGATTGCGGCAGAGTCCTTGCACCGCTTGCTGCAGAGCTGACGGGCGATGCTGCCTGGGGCTGGAAGGCAAAGCACAGATGATACAATTTTGGTGGACGCAGGGTCCAGGGTCTCTGCGCCAGGAGGTGTCAAGCTTTCTGCTTTGCCCTTGCGGCCTCTGGATCAGATGAGATGTTTGCATCGGAAGCAACGTCCTCTACATGGTCGCAGGAACGCACACCCTTGAGCCGTCTGTGAGTCAGATGCTGGCTCTGGTTCCTGCATTTGGCTTCAATTGTGCACTCTCGAGTCAGGCCAGGTCGGCTTGAGCTAGGTTAGCTGCCATTAGAACATGGTGGCTTCAGAAGGTTTAGTGAGCGGAACACAGGAGGCAAGCTCTAGCGTCACAAGGGAGCGACAGCTTGCAGCCCCTGCTTCCAGCCTCCCCGAATCTTCTTCAAGCCCTTGCCAAGCATCCTGGCGGTTCTGAGGATGACGATTCTGACTCATGACGGTTTATGACTCTGCAATGCAAGAAAGCAACAGCCCCTGCACCTCTTCGCACCACTCCAACCACGCTTCTTCACTGCCTGGAAGGTGCTCTGGCCAAGTGGTGCATCAAGTTTCAAGATGGGAAACTCGTTCAGCCTGCTCGTCTCCATGCTCAGACAGAGTCTCAGAAGGAGCCGGCGAATGGCCGTCTTCGATCTCATCGTCCTCTATCCTCGGCCCGACTGACTACACCGAGTTCTGCTAGAAATGCTGAGTGTCCCGACTCTTCCTGCATCTCCATTGCCTCGGTCGGTTGAGAAACTCCGAAGCACCAGTCCCAGAAAGGCCATGAAGACCACATCCGAGCAGCTTTCGCGAGGGCGACCTGCGCGGCCTGCAATCGATTGGACACCCGACACCGCCCGACACCCGCAAGTCCGTTGGCCTGCTTTCTGTCCTGAAGGTCTTGAAGCCTTCGCCACATGCAAAGCGCCAGTCTCCAGTCCCGAAGGAGCTTAGCTCTCACAACCATGAAAGTGCCTCTGATAGGCTTCTCTTCTTTCTGCCCTTGCTTGTTGTAAGTCTTGACTCAATCGGCAAACCTGCATGTTGTGAATAGGTGGAGGGATGCTCAGGAGGACCGGAAGCAAGCAGCAAGCAAAGCCTCTTTGCTCAATGCGGGCTCAGATGCTAACCTTTCCTGCAAATCCAAGTCTCGAAATCATGCGATATGACTGGCAGCTACGTGGTGAGAGCTCCTGTCCTGGTCTTCATTCCAGCGATGTATCAATGATGCTGACGATGTACTCAATGCACAGGCAAGTCGGGCCTTAGGCACTCAAATGCGAGCACGAGTTCTTCCTCTTTGTTTCCTCAGAATGGCACAAGGGCAATCGCCGATGCAGATGGGGAGACGTCCCCTGTCGGCAGCTCTCATGTCGTACAATACCAGACATGGCGCCACAAGGTGCCTGGTAAGGCATGGTGAGTGGGCACATCCTTCCAAATGTCGCGCTGCGATGCAGAGCTCAAAAAGTGCAAGCCGGAGCTGCCAGCGGTCCTTCAGCCAAACTGGGGCACAAAAGCTGCGCCTCACCTCTTCGATTCATGTTCTCCGGCCGAAGCAAAGAACCAAAGGCTATCCGCACCTCCTCAGCCACCTGCTCTTCTTTTGCAGCCCACGTCTGCGCAGGTGGAAGTGCAACAAACTTCAAGGCCAAGGCTTGCTCGAGACGCTCTGTCATCCCAAGAGCGAGCTTAGCAACACGAGCTCCATTTGCGCCTGCAGCAGTCGGACATCCAGGGCATCTCCGACAAGTGGAGGGAGTTCTTCCTTCCACGACACTGTGAGAGATCATGTCCGTGCTGTGGAATCAGGAAGGTGTTGACTGCCCTCGGCCTCCATTGGCCTTGCTGCTCATCGCCGACATGCATGCTGAGGCGAAACGCTCCAGCTAGCAACGTCCACTTTTGGGGAACGACACTTCGTACCGCTGGTCCTGACAAGAACACATTTTACACTGCACGTCCATGTTCCCTCGATCAAGCTTCGCATGCTCTGCTCAGAGTTCTGGGCGACGGAGGACATGCAAGTGAAGTGGCAGAAAGAATCACACCCGACGGAGCACCACATGCGAATCCAACATGCAGGTGCAGAAGCATGGAGAGCTAGTCGTAAGACGTCGTAGGACTGGCCGCCAAGCCATCTGCCTACAAAAGGGTCAGGCCGCATGGAAGCTGGCCAGGACTTGGCCAGGCTTTAAAGCAACCTGCACGGGATGCCTCGGTGCACAGCCTTTTCCATCGTCTGCATGTTAGACTGCTAGACCATGCTATCTAGGCACACAAGCAGTTCTGCTCAGTAGCACGCTAGAGAAAGTCCTGCACCCTGGTCCTACGCTATAAACAAGCCTCTCATGTTGACACTTGTGGTCTTTCGGTTCGTGACACCTCAGCCCAGAGGCCGACCGTTCATCGCAAACTCCTTGAGAGCCCACAGCAGATCAAGAGTTCCGCGACGGATTCACGAAAGGTCCTTGAAGGAAACGCCCCGGAAGGTTCCGGTAACCTGGAAAGTGGACTGATGTCATGATAACTGGCGATGTGACTGCCACAGACGTGCTTGTTGTATTGCAGTGCTTGCGGGATTTGCCTTGGAGGGTTCGACACCATGCGCCTGATTCACGCGCAAGCGGTTTGACCAATGGCCTGATCGACCCTGCAAAGAGCGGGCCTTCAAGCCGTCGGCAATAGTCGCGATGACTGCGCCAAAATCACCACCAATGGAGTCGACTTCGACAACCTCGACACTGCTGGGCACAGACTGCTGTACTCCAGATGCTGCCAGGCCAAAGGCACCCTGCTCACTGCTGAGAACCTGACCACCGACGCCTCCTGCCCTGCAACCATGACACACTCAGCCTGAAGATCTTGCCAGGGCAACTGCAAAACGCCAGCGGACAGCATTGCCTTGGTTAGCGCAACCGTGATGTACTGGTCTGGCTTGCCGAGCGCAGTCTTCACAGCCTCAGCGTGCACTCTTAGACCAGGCACAATCTCGCTTGACGTGCTCGAGCTCTTCAGTTTCAGCAGAGGCCCAAGCGTTGTGAACCATTGCCGCAACCTGTACCAGCTTAATTGTGCGTCCCGCCTATCTATCCCTATCTTTTCACGCACTTCAAGATGCTTGTGCTACAAAGGTCCTCCTTCTTGGCTGCAATGACAGCATCGACATCCGTGAGCACGGTAACCAGGGGCATGGCAGCTGCGAGGCTGCACCCGCTTGGTCAGCCGATCCCACTAAATCTCTACGAGACTAACAAAACTTGAGCCTGCATGGCAACGATTAGATTGGATGGACCGTGCGCAGTGCATGTCCGGAAATGCACACATCTGGATGCAAACAAGCACAGCAAAGCGCGTTTCGTCGGAGCAATGTCCTGGTCAGCAGTGAACAGAAACTGCACCACGCTACTGACAGACGGCTCCCATCCACCACATTGACGTCAATGCTTCCCAGCACACGATTCTGTAGGTTTATGACGCTGACCATTGACCCACGGCTGCACCCGTCCAGGTTGAGATAGCTCGAAGAAGCTGAGAGAGCGGGTGTGCACGGTGTGGCAATCCTCCGCAGCTCTTCCTCATGTTGTTTCCACGCCCTAGACTCAATTAAAGCCTAGACGCAAAGTCGGGTCCAAGCTGTTGTGTGTTTTGTTGATTTTTCTGGTTCGATCCATATACAAAACTTGCAAGAGTCACAAGGATGGCAAGAACTGAGGCTGTATGTTAGGTCTTTTCTGGTGTATTATGGTGTGTTTTTTGGTTTCGGCCTACTAGTCTTCGGCTCCCGGTCGGTTACTCAGTCTGCGAATCCGTCCGGCCGACCCCCCAGCAGTTCAGGCTGTAGGCGTCTCGGCTTTATGGCTTTACGTTCTTGATGGCACGATGTTCTCTAAAGCAGGCTTGCGCGGCTCCAAAATATAGCGGGGGGGTTACGCCCCCTGGACGGGCTTTGAAAGGTCTCATAACAGGTAATGCGCTTGATTTGTTGCGACCAACCGCAAATGGCCAAATAGTGTTCTTGACGGTACCACGTTCGCTGAAGCACCTTCACGGGACAAAAGAAACGCCTCTTCATGTGGCGATTTCGGCTCATCATATATCTTAAACACAGCCCCTGATTTGGCGGTTGCAGCTCACCATATATCTTCAACAGTTCCCCATATATCTTAAACACGCTTCTTTTTGGTGATTCCTGTTCATCATATATCTTAAACATGCCCCCTCCTTTGGCGGTTCCGGGTCATCCTACATCTTAAAAGGCGATGAAGAGTCAGCATACATGTTAAACATGCCCATCTGATTGGCGGTTCCGCTTCATCTGATCCACGCCCTTACGTTGGCGATAACGGTTCATGATACATGTTTTCCACGCCCCTCCCTTTTGGCGATTTCCGTTCGCCATATATCTGAAGCACGCCTCCTTATTTGGTGGTTCCGGTTCACCATATATCCGAAGCACGCCCCCTTATGTCGTAATTACGCGGTTCATCATACATGTCAAACACGCCCCTCTCATTCGGCGGTTCCGCTTCATCATGTATCTGCAACATGCCCCCTCATTTGGTGATATCGGTTCATCATACATGTTAAACACGCCGCCTCGTTTGGCGATTCCGGTTCACCATAAACCTGAAGCACACCCCCTTCTGTGGTGATTCCGGTTCATCATATATCTTGAACGCACCGCCTCAATTGGCGATAACGGTTCATCATAGATCTTGAACACGCCGCCCATTTGTTGGGTGATTTCGGTTCATCGTATATCTTGAACATGCCCCATCATCTGGCCATAACAGTTCATCATATATCTTGAACACACCCCCTCATTTGGCAATTGCAATTCACCATCTAGTTTAGACACACCCCCTCACTTGGCGGTTCCGGTTCGCCATATGTCTGAAGAACGCTCCATATTCGCTACTTCCCGTGCACCATATATCTGAAACACGCTCCTTATTTGGTGATTCCGGTTTACCATATATCTCGAACGCACCCTCTCATTCGGTGATAACGGCTCATCATAAGTCTTGAAAGAGGAACCCCTCCCTCCCTTCCTTCTTTTCTTTCTTTGATAAATAAAGACCAACTATTGAATGTTTACAGGCTGCAAATACTGTGGTTTCTTTCAGAGTTTTGATGTATTTTGATCACTGTTTGATTTTCTCTGCTATTTGACTTGTTGATCGCTGTTTGATTTTTTCGATGGCTATTTCTTGTCTAGTACTAGTAGTACGAGTAATAGTAGGAGTACCACTACTACTACTACTACTACTACTACTACTACTACTAGTACTACTACTAATACTCCTACTACTACTACTACTACTACTACTACTACTACTAGTAATACTACTACTACTACTACTACTACTACTACTACTACTACTACTACTACTACTAGTACTACTACTGCAACTACTACTACTACTACTACTACTACTACTACTACTACTACTCGCAAAATGATCCGTTTGCCCATACACCTGGTCTGCGGAGCCGGGCGGGGCCTCGTTTTGCTGGGGGGCGCACACAATTTGGCACAAGGTCGGAAGACGGCGATCGACGCCCCAGTTTAAATTCGCGGACGAGCAATTCACGTCTAAACATGACAACTGTCTCGAAGATTCTGCGTGCGCGCTGTTTGCATTTTGACTTGTTCTTGTGGGTGGGTGCGAAACCCGAAACGAAACCCTAAAAGGAGTGGGCTAAAACGAATGATTGTGGGTGAGAAACCTCAAATCCTAAAAGGGTTTAGATTGGGTGGCTGCAAACGGGTGGCTGCGAAACCCTGAACCCTACACGTAAAAACGTGGGTGGGTGCGAAACCCTGAAGCCCAAAAGGAATGGGTGGGTGCGAAACCCTGAAAGTCAAAAACGAATGGGTGGTTGCGAAACCCGCAAAGTTCCAAAAAAAATAAATGGCGACGAAACCCTCAAACCCTAAAAGGGATGGGTGGGTGCGAAACCCGAAACCCTAAAACGAGTGGGCTGCGTGCAAACCCTGACTCAACCCTAAAGGGAGTGATTGCGTGCGAAACCCGAAATCCTAAAACGAGTGGGTGGGTACGTGCGACTGCGAAACCCTAAAAGAGTGATTGGGTGCGAAACCCCGAACCCCAAAAGGGTTTGGGTGGGTGCGAAATCGGTGGCTGCGAAAGCCTGAACCCTAAAATAATGGGTGGGGGCGAAACCCTGAAGCCTAACAGGAATGGGTGGGTACGAAGCCCCGAAACTCTTAAAGGAATGGGTCGTCGCGAAACCCTCAAAAACCCAAAAAAGTGAGTGGCTACGAAAGTGGGTGGGTGCGAAACCTTGCACCCTACAAGGAATAGCTGGGTGCGAGTGGGTGGCTGCGAAACCCTGAAACCCTGAAAGCAGTGGGCAGCAGCGAAACCCTCAAACCTTAAAAGGAGTGGGCGGGTGCGAAACTCTGAACCCTAAAAAGAGTGGGTGGGCGCGAAACCCGAAACCCGAAAAAGAGTGGGTGCGTGCGAAACCCGAAACCCTAAAAGGAATGGGCTGCGTGCGAAACCAAACCCTAAAAGGAGTGGGTGGGTGCGAAACGGGTGGCTGCGAAACCCTAAGCCCTAAAAGGGGTGAGTGGGTGCGAAACCTTGAACCCTTAAAGGAGTGGGTGGGTGCGACGCCTTGAAACCGTAAAAGAAGTGAGGGTTAACCCTAAAAAGAGTAAGTGGCCTTGCTATGAAACCCTCAAACCCTAAAAGGAATGGGTGGGTGCGAAACCCGAAACCCTGAAAGGGTTTGGGTGGGTACGAAACCTTGGATGCGAAACCTTGAACCCCAAAAGGATTGCGTGTGTGCGAATCCCCAAACCCTAGAAGGGGTGAATGGCTACGAAACCCTCAAACCCTAAAAGGAAGAGCGTTCCTTTCTGGAGGGTGGAACGCCCTGGCGGCCCCATATTTACAGCATTTTCTCGTGTTTCCTAGCGAAAATCATTCTGGAAATAGAAAGGTGGCGAAACATTTGTAATTGCACTCATCTCCAAGCCAAACTGTGCTGAACCGGTTTCCGTTACTCC